ACACACACACACACACACACACACACACACACACACACACACACACACATATCTCTTTCCTCTTTCCACACCTCTTGCCTCTTGTTGCGCGCACCTAAAATGTTTCTCATTAACCCAAACCAAACATGAGGAGCTTCACTCAGCCAACATGATGTTCTCTGTTCTCAACAGGCAAACATAAGTGGGAGCAGTATTTAATAAAAGGGATAATACAACCATTTTAAAGTGGGCGAAGTTATGAACGCTCCACTTGCATGTCAAAATTTAAAACAAAGACCTGCCCATAGCCTTCTCAGAAACACTGAGAATGAGAAAGTGTGGAAAAATTCTTGTCTCAGAAATTTAGTCATCAAACATCCCATTCTGATAATGAATGCATTTTAAGTCTAAGAGCTGCTTATATTTTTTATTCATTTCATTAAAAACAAAACAACTATATCAACAATAGAGGAAAAAATATAGATATCACAAATAAAATGAAAGGCAGCAGAAAGCAGAAAAAATCTGACATTTTCAAATAATAGTAAATTACAAAAAAACTAAACAAAAACATCAAATCAAAACAACAATTCGTATTCACATTATGCTTTTCCATTTTCCTTTAAAAAAACTTTTACCATTCTCTTAAATATGTATGATCTGGCATTTTTAACATTAATCTTTCAGACCATTCCACAAACCTTTTCCCTGGATTAAAGTAGATCGTTCCTACAGAACCAAACCTTCACAAACATTTACTTCTTCTTAAGATAATACTCTTTCTCTTCGCAAAATTTACTTGGATGTTTAAAGGTGATATGTTTTTGTGAGTCTTACATAAAYAGTAAAATATTATRATCAACTAACTCATAACTTCAATGACTTCAACTGATAAAATAATGTATTTGATGGATGCTGTAATCTTTTCTAGTGATAATTCKAGCTCTTTTCTCTAAAACAAATTTGTTTTAAACACTTCATAGCTGATCCTGCATGTAACCCTTGACATGGATCAATCACTCAATCAGATTTCATGTTCAAAGAAATTCTCATGGAAATATCAAGATAAAACAAACAAAAAAAAAACTCAAGTTTAAATTCAACAAAATAATGTTACATTTATTAAAACCTCCAGAAAACTTTTTAGCAGAACATGTACGACCCTATAAAACTCTTAAAATGCAAGAGCTACAGAGGGGCTTCGCCTCCCTGTTACCCCCCACCATCACATTGCCCTAAGCGGCCCTCATCTTATTAAAACTCAACAAAACTGTAAAAACCTATAGTGCATTTATAAACATTTAACTCAAAGTAAAAGTTTATTATTCATATTATAT